TCAGCTCTATAGGAAAGTTATCATCAGAATTGCTAGGTTGGTGTGTAGTGTTGCAGCTTTGAGAGTAGTATATTTAGGATAAGCTGAAGTTTAGTTTTGTAACAAATATTCTACAATTTATGAGCCTCCAACAGTATACAGTCTCACAAATTAGTAGAAGCAATAAACTGGAATCCTTTCGTACATTAACACATTCATGACTGTCAGCTCTACAGTATATTAATAACTGGCATATTTGTGTTCATTGAAAGTCATGTGGGTTATTTTGAGATCTTGCCAAATAGGAAAGCTTACTTTCTATACAGAAAATAATTCAGACCAAAGTTGTTGGATAAACTTGGAGAATTTCTCAATACTTTGATAAGGCTCTGCTGTACTGTTGTCCATCAATTGCTACCCGGCTGGAATTTAGCCATCTTATTATTTTAAAATGTTGAATAAGAGGCTCTTATAAACACTTATGTGAGTTTAAGGGAGGAGAATGGTAGATGGTTGGGGAATTTTTTCTGAGACTTGATCTCATACTATACTTTGGTGACTGCTGCTTTTTGTTTGTAACCTGCTATATACAAAACTTTATAGTTAACTTCATGTTAAAAGTTTAATTCTACAAGGAGACTTGCTAGAAATACCCATTATGAATTTCGGTAAAGATAACATAAGGGATTCCTTGCATCCTGAGCAGGTATACTTAAATAATTTCTATTATTGTTGCTTTGGAATGCTAATGCTATTTCTGAATCAAAAATAGCTAATGCTGAAATGGCTAAGGTAAAACTTCCAGCTGTTGTAAAAGGCTGTGGGATTTTGGCATTTAGATACTTCCAGAAGTTGGGAATATTGTGGTCCAGCATATTCTCTTGAGGTCAGCAAATAATTGTGTAAGTTTTTCAAATAGCAATTATAATTATTTCAGCACTCGTGAAACTGTTATGAAAGGACTTATTTATTTGAATTAAGTATTTCCTTTAATCATAATCTCAGGATGAGTATATCTCTTCTAGTTTATTGACTCAAGTCTATGTGCTTTTTGTTTCTGGAAGTTCTTTCAGAAGTACTGACACAATGAACTTTGCAGTGCAACCAGAATGAAGTATCGTGCATAACCCTCTACAGCTTAAAGACTGAGCAAAAGCCTTGTTGGCCACTTTGGTATTAGGAGTTAGTAGTTACTGTAGTACATCTTCAAAAAAGTAAAAGTGGAGGGTTTTTTTGGTGTGCAGATGAGATCCTGCCAACATGGATTGATAGAGGTCTTAATGTGGTGAAAATTTCATAGATGACTCGTCTGTAGAAAAAAGATAGTGAAAGTAGTAGTAATGTTAATTGTATTAACATTTTTCTTGTAAGTCCTAAATTTTATTTAGCTTGAGAGATTTGAAATGCACAGGAGAGAATCTGGAAAGCTAAGATTTTTTTCCTCAAGATGCAAGTTTGAAAGGAAAGAAAGTAAATAGTGGAAAAGTAGCTCATTATATGTTGATACTGCTTGTGCTTTTTGCTGAAATCTGACCATATATTTTTTGGGAAAGGTTCATACTTCCTTTTTTCCCCCTTTTTTTTTCCCCTCTTCTTTAATAGCAGTACTACAGAGCTCACTCTGTTGAGAGCTCCTGACCCATGTTGCCCATAACCATCATATAAGGTATGCCTTCTAAAATACACTAGCAAAACAGATAGCTCCAGTCAGCAGAAGTTGCCTCATTGCTGGAAACAGAGTTGAAGAGGTGTAGCTGTGTATGCTGTAGAGATCATTAAAAAGCTTTAGTAAGAGGAGGCAGTTTTTTTAACACAGTCTGATAACTCACATATTGATTTTTGACTACTGACTTGACGTCCTATTTTAACTTAGTCTTTAGCAGATAAGGAAGTATTTCTTAAAGGTAATTGCAGTAACTAATTTATCTTAATATTGTCCTCATGTCTTCTTCCTTTTTCTGGTGTTCACAAGAACATTATGTAACAGTAATTCTTACTGACAGGGAAGGCAATACTGCGTGTCAGTTCTTCCTACATTTTTAATGCGATTTCTACCCATTTATGGGAAATGTCTCTCACTTACTCTGTTCTCTTTTTGATTAATATACACACACACACCCCCCACACCCCTTTCCCCTTTCCTCCACTGAAAACAGGACTCTCTAATTAGCAAGTTCTGTATAACATCTCTTGCAATAAAGACTGATCAGCGTATGGGAGTATGCTCCAGAAGTCTCCAGCTTCTGGAGACAGTTGAATATTACCAAAAGAAAAGCTCCAAGTAAGTTTTAGTAACCTTATAGAGCCTCCTCCACATAAATAGCATAGATGTACCCATGCTCTACTGAAAATACTTCCACTACTGAAGAACAGAGAGAAATCCTTGATGAGTGGTTAGAACTGTACGTTCTTTAAAATATTTTTTTTTTTTTTTAAATTTTAGAACCATTTATTATGAAAAGTGGTGTTGCCCATTGTGAGTCAGTGTTCCTTGTCCCCAGCTTTGATCACCACTTAATAATAAAACAATATTGCATGGAGCAATTGACGCAATTACTTGTGGTTTATATACTTCAGATTTCAATATCTAGCACGTTATGCCTGTGATAGCTTGCTTGAAGGTGTGGTTTTAGCCAGCTGACAGAAACATTTAAGTATTAATTACTCTTCTTTATCTTTTTATATTCTAGAGCATCTGCAGAGTTCATATGCAAGCTTAACCTACTGCAATGTTAAAGTAATGGTCTATACAAGACCTGAATTTTAAGACATGAAGTACAAAAATACATACTGATATAAACAGTGGAGACACTCAGCTAAGCTGAAAGCAGCTTCCAGAACTGGGATTCACGTCACAAAGGCTAAGGCTTGATAGTATTAAAAAAAACCTGAGAGATGAGGAAGCTCAAAATTTGAATTACCTAGTATATGTATATTTCTGCATATAGTATGAATGTACATATGAAAATGTACATATACACATATATCAAATTTATTTTTATAACCCTGCTGATATTCTGATAAAGGTAGAATAGAGTTAAAGCTGTTTTGAGCCCAGCTCATGTAAGGCACGGATGTCCTAGGAAATACCTAGTTCTTTTGTGGAAAGTGATGTGCTTCTCTTTCCTTATCCAAGAACTGAGGAGAAAGCTACTGACAGATTGGAGATTAATTCTGAGATCTTCTCTTTCATGAGCCTGTTAAGAGGCAGTCGCTTTGATCTTCTGCTCCAGAGCAGAAGGTGGGGAGGGAAGGAAAAAGCACCATAAACGTAGCAGAATCCTTCATAACATCGTATTTGCATCTAATGGCTAATATCCTGCTTTTCCCTTGCTAGGTTCTTTCTTTCTCCTTTGCAACAGTGTTTTTTCCTATTTATAGGGAAAGGAGGTAGGACAGTAGCAAATAATAGCTTTGCTATTTATTCCAGGTGTTTAAAGTATTAATTGAAATGTAAAGTATGGGGTGTGAGTGCTTATTCTGTTGTTTATAGCTCCTCTTCCCCGCTGTGATTCTTCCCTGTGGATTGTGCATCTACCTTTCTCCTACCCTTCTTTCTGTCTTGGGAAGTGCCTGTGCCCTGCAACTTTCCATCCTCCTTGGAAGAGACTGCTATCTTTGACAGATTCATAATCAAAGTTCACTGAAACAAAATATTGGAAAGAGATCCTGATGAATAATGTGGGAGAGATCTGCTGAGTCTGGGAAATGTTTTGAAAGAGGGTGGGCAGTTGAAGAGCAGTTTTCCAGGGGGTGTGTGTTAGAATTAGCTAGTATATTCTTATTTATAATAATTTCTCTGTGTTATCTTAAATGGATCTTGAAATTGCAGTGAGTGAAAAATCGTCCATCTTTACTGAATCTTTTGTTATAATAGGTTAAAAAAAAAAATCTTAATTTCTTCATAGTTTCCACAGACCTCTATTTAGATACCTGTGAAAAATACACACCAGTCTTTTTTCCCCTTGTTGTAAAACAGAACGTGTATGAAATGTCTCAATTTTTTCTGAATGTAAAATGTAAATGTAGAACGTTGCTGTTAGCGATGAATAAGTTTTAATATAATCTTAATAAGGATTTAAAGCAATAGTGCATAAGGTACAAATTGGCATCCCATGATTTTTTTTCTTGTTTTAATTACTAAAAATCGCATCATGAGTTCCTTTCCCAATATATTACTGAAACATGACATAGACATTGGGCTTTATGCATATCGTTTAGCTTGTAATCTTGAGATTATCATGTAAGATAATGTTACATGATTGTTTAAAGCAACTGAAATGAAATTATGTCCAGCTATTACAACAAAGAAACACTTGAAGAAGTAAACATGCTTAATTTAATGTTTCAGAACATGTTTCAAGTTTAAGCTTCAAACACAGCTAAGAGATGCTAATTAAATCTGTTTATTGAAATAAAAAGTTTCTTGATGAGGAAAAAAGGTTATGACCTATTTATTGCTACTAGAAAAGATTGCCAGTGTTGTTAGAAAACTTCCTTACCCACAGTTTCAGTTATACTTTATTAAAGAGGTAGAGAAAATTACAGTTATCTTAGTGTAATGCAGTTAATTAAAAAAAAAAAAAAAATTAACTAATTTTTAATTTTTTTTCTTAGCATGGTAGGTGAACAGTATATTTTGAAAATGTTTGGGGTTTTGGGGTACTTCTTTACTTGCATATGGCAAATTTCTGCTATTTAAATGGTATCTTTGAAAAATATTACTTTGGATTTTAAGGTATTTGTGTATAAAATAAGTTATATAATTATTCTGGTTATCTCAAGTTTTAGGCAGTGTGAGATGCTTTTCTAAGGTCATATATGGTTTTGTTAGTTTTTAGGAGACAGTGAAACATTACATGATAATTTAACTTCTTTGTTAGACACTACTTGCCTTCATCTTTAAATGAAAAACCCCCTCTAATATTCTAATTCTTGTTTCCTTAAAAAGCATTTTTCATTGCTAAGTTGTATGATTTGTACTTTATAATACTGTTACACTTTTTGTTTTTCAGTCCCAGAAATCCTGGATAGAAAATACTTTCACCAAGAGGGAGTGTGTGTATATTATACCAAGTTCAAAAGACCCCCACAGGTAAATGAGAAATTATGCAAGAATTCATTGCTGCTCTTTAAAATTAAAATTCAGTATTGCAAAGAGACAGTATAATAGATTTTTGGACTAATTACTCTATCTGTATAAAATACTAGCTTTAGTTAACTTTTTTGTGTAACTTGGATTTTTTTTTTTGTATTTCTCTGAAAGTACTTTGCTGTTGCAGAAATCTCTAGTAAATGTTCCCCTGTTCTCTTAGCTTTTTCTTACCAGTCCTCCTAGTCATGTCTATGGTGTGGCTACAGTGTCAGGGTTTTATAATTTTTTATTTTCTTTTTTTTTGTTTCTGAAGTCAGAAAGGCTCATAGAGATATATTCTTGGAATTAAAAGAACAGAAGTGTGAGTGTAGGGTGAAGTGTAAAAACCTACCTGACAGTGCAGAAAAAAGGGATGAAGAATTCATAGGAATAAAGAAAAACAAGAATCGTAGTGGGAGAAAAAAATTACAAAACAAAAGCTGAAGAAATATTTGCTTCCAGGGAAGATAAAATAAGAACAGTTTAGATATCAAAAGATTTCATGTGTTATCTAGTAATTTTTCATCCTCAAGTTCTGTAAGGAAAAAATGAGGCTGAAAAATGGGGAAATATATTTCTAGAGGGGAGGCTGCGACTAATGAAGAATATTTTGCATATCTCACGTGCTGCTTTTACCTTATTCTAAATTAGAAATGTGAAATCAAACAAGTTAGTGATACCACCAGCATGTCTAACTTGTAGAATTTACCTTCACTAAGTGTTATAATTTAATGTTCCTGCAGTGATTGAACTTGATGTGCATAGTCATGAAATCTGTGTCACAGATTAAATAAAATCAAATTGAAAATAGATTAAAATTTGGTATTTTAAGGCAGTTTTGTCTTCCCAAAATGTTTATTATTCTCATTATGGATTTCAGTTAAGCTTTTTTTTTTTTTTTTTTTTTTTTTTTTTAAGCTTCATACATTTGAGAGTAACTGAGAATCCTTTTCTCCTGAATGTCAGAAAACTTTTATTTTCAGTTTTTTCTGTGAAAAAAGTTATAAATCTCTTTTCTTCTGTTTTGGCAGAGTATTATTTTTCTTTTAAGAACTTTGTTTTTAGGCAGAAATATAACAAAGTAAATGCTGTAGAATTTTTAAGTTATTGTAAATAATTCACCACATTCCCTGAAACCATGTGACATGGGAAGCTTTTAGAATTTATAGCCCTGATTGTAGCACATGGAAAAGATGCAAATGCAAACAAAGTAATTAGGAAGCTGTTAAAATTTCCAGAGCATTTCACAAGGAACAAAATGATCTTCAACACTTACCCTTTTAGTTTAACCTATGTGTAGCACACAATGGGCTTTACAACTTTCCCAACAGATTTTGTCCTTCAGTTTGTAAGAATTGCTTACTGTTGTTCATGAATTATGTGTGTATGAGTCAAAGGTAGACAGGAGTATTTGTCATCACTTGTTGATCTCTACCTTTTAGCATACATAATTATATTTCAATAAGTATTAAGAGAAGATCTAAAGCTATAGTTCAATATTAAAAACGTAGATGATTAATAGCAGTGTAACTTCTATAGAGGACAAAATTCAAAAATTCTTTATGCTCAAAGTCTGAAGACAGTTGAAAGCTGCTGTATAACATCTGTATTTGTATGCTTTTGCATGCTAGCTCTTCACCATAATTGATTAACAGCTGCTTATGAAAATTATGGAAAACCATGGTATAAATTTATCTGCTATGTTAATTTTAAATGTTAAGAAGGCTGTTAGCAGGAAAACCACAGAAAATGTTTAAAGATGGAAGAGGATAGAGATGAGGAATTCTTTTTATATAATTAACTTTATGTAAAGACACTACTGTATAAAGTTTGTTCAAATGTATCTTTTTCTCTATACGCAACTTGTAAATGATGAAATAACCTTCCGGCACAGGCAGTTCAACTTCAGTGTATATTAGAAGAATGAATTAGAATAGATGTAACAATGTATAGTTAGAATGAGTCCAAGAAAATGCTGATCTGTAAGTAACTTGTCAGAATCTAGCAAAATGTTTCAGTTTGAGTACTGCACATAACCCAGTCTGAAATATTGCTGGGCTCCAGATATTGGTGGTTCAAAGCCTGAACACCCATCTGAAGGCTCAGGACTGAAGCTTTTGCATGTTTATGCGTTTTTACTTGCCAAATATGTTACAATCATGTAAAATAACGTCAGACAAGTTACCATGTTAAAAATGGGCAAACTCGGGCAGCATCTTTTCCATTTACTGGAGGTCTCTTTTGTTCCATAATCTTTCTGTAAGCATGTGAAGTGGTGTGAGTGGTCCATCCGTTCCCTCCTTTCTCCACCTCCCCACCCCCCATTAAAATTGAAGTTGAAGTTTACTCATATCTTCAAATATTTCTTATACAGATGCCTTCCAGGATGTCAGATTTGTCAGCAACTTGTCAGGTAAGAGTTATTTGTAATTACAATATTTATGAATATTTTTTTCCATTAAATAAGCGCTTTCATAATAGGGTTTTAAAAAGTTTTGATTAGTACTGCAAATGACAAGTCAGTGAAAGGTTAGATATAAAACAAATACAACTAATGAATAAAGAACTGCCTGCAATATGTGGATCACAGATTTATAAATGTTATATAAATGATTTGGCTTCAAAGAATCCGTTCTTTTCTGGCCTCCAACTTGCTATTTCGGTGAGCTTCAATATCTTGCATAATAATTATGTATTGTAATTAATTCTTGCTATCAATATTTATAAAGCTTGCTCTGGAAGAGAAGTTTATATAATATTTAGAATCTTTGCTTTCTAAATCTGATGTATCTCTGTTATAGATAAAAAAAGTTATTTTATCTTCTAATAATAGTATTTTCTGAAGTATTCTAAATGATATGGTTGGGTGCAGGTGCTGTTGTGGCCGCTTGGTCAGACAACATGCTTGTTTTACTGCAAGTCTTGCCATGAAATACTCCGATGTGAAGCTGGGTGAAAACTGTAATCAGGAAATAGAAGAATGGTCAGTGGAAAAACATACAGAACAGACCTCTACTGATGCTTATGGTGTCATCAACTTTCAAGGTGGCTCTCATTCTTACAGGGCTAAGGCATGTATGATGTTTTCTTTTTTTCTTACTCTAAACATGTTGATAGAGATGGTGGATGCTTCATTTAACTTGTGAAATTGAAAGCTGAAAACATTGTCACCCATATTGTAACAAACCAGTGTCCTCTACTATTCTAGTGGTTTCTTTATTATGATCTGAATTCTTTCTAGTTTCTGTTTTTTAAATTTATTTTTCATAACAAAAGTTGCTCAGATCTATTAGAATTAGTGGTATTCATGTACTGGCTTACTTTGAAATCGCAAATGGTGATAAGAATTCCTAATCGCTTCAGCAAAACATGACATTGAAAATTCAGTGTCATTGTTTCAGACTTCATGAAAATAGAGCTTACTCATCTATGCTGCTTGCTTCCTCGCTACTGTTAAAATTTTATAGGACCTGTTAAGTAACATCTACTATCTTAACCCTCTATTCATAATTTTAAAACTCTGAAAAATAATTAAAAATTATGAACAGATGTGGAATGTGCTTCTTTAGTAGATTTGTTTGGAATTATTAAAGCATAAACATAGTAGTGATCAGGATAACTAAGTTTTTTGAGAGTGGAGGTTAGTTAAAAACAAGGGTACCAATAAATGGAAATTTTGGAAACCAACTCTTAATTCACAAGTGCACGTGTACTGGAGAGGCTAGAAAACTGGAAATTCCAACAGGTTCTCCACCACCATTTTGTAAAGGATTTCTAGTTGTAGGAATGATTTAATGCTCCTTCAGTTAAAAGCTACAAGGAATTCTAATACCATGTGGCTCCTATGGCCAAACTGAAGTACTTGAATGAGGAAGCTGTGTTCTTTATGCAGCCTACAGAGCCCCCAAGGAGAGTCCAATGCTCAGATCATCTCTGTGGAGAGAAGCGTTCTTAACAGAATTCTTTGATGTTCCTGATAGCAGTATATATGTTCTTTTGTATAGCTTAAAATTGCTATGAATCCTTTTCTAGGAGTACAGAAATAGCAAGCTGCCTATACTCATTTCTGTGCTTACTTCTGCAGAGTGCTAGTGGGGTTGCTAAAACCAGTTTGTTGGAATGGTGATTTTTTTTTTTACTTAGAACTTGGTTTAGGTAGGTCTTAATTTCTGTATAGTATCCATTCCTCTATTGAATAGCTTGTATTAAAGACTCAGC